AGGTCCGAGAAAAAAAAACCTAAACCCTAAACCCCTAAACCCTAAACCCCCAAACCCTAAACCCCTAGACCCTAAACCCTAAACCCTAAAACCCTAAACCCTAAACCCTAAACGACCCAGGATGGCGGTGCTTCCCTCAAGCTCCAAGTCGCTTTTGCCGGCCTGCTTCCAGTGGCTCTTCGACTCGAAGGCCTCCTTGGGTCAGTGGGTTCAGGGTTGTAGGATTTAAGGTTTAGGGTTTAGGGTTTAAAGGTGTTTAATAAGGTGTTTCATATGGGGTTTATCTAGAGTGTATAGAACTGCTGTGTAGGGTTTTAGGGTTTAGGGGTCAGTGTATTCAGGGTTTAGGGTTCCAGGGTTGTAGGGTGTAGGGGTTTAGGGTCAGGATACAGGGGGGTTATATAGGGGTTTATATAGGGATAATGGAAAAGAAATGGAAATCATAGGGATTATGGGGGTTATATAGGTGTTATAATGGGTTACATATGGGTTATAATGGAGAATCAAATGGCAAAACAAATGGAAAATGAAATGGAAACTGGGATTATATAGGGTTATATAGGTATATGGGGTTACATAGAAGATTATACAGGGATAATGGAAAGAAAATGGAAGCTAATTTTTAGGGTTTAGGGGTGTAGGGTTTAGGGTATAAGTTTTGGGGTTTAGGGAAAAGGGTTTAGGGTTTAAGGGTTTAGGGTTTAAGGATTAAGGGTTTAAGGATTTAGGGTTTAAGGATTCAGAGTTTAAGGATTTAGGGTTTAGGATTTAATGGTGTAGGGTTTAGGGTTGAACGGTGTAGGGTTTTTCGCGCGAGAGAATGAATATAGGGACTTATCATAAGGGTATATGTGCGTTATGGTCTAAACTCCTAGTATCCCCCTTAATAACCCCCATAGTACTGCCATATAACCCCTTTAAGGAGTTTAGACTCAAAAACCTAATCCCTAAACCATAATCCCTAAACCCCATTGACTCCTTGTAAACGCTCTTTATTGAGTTTAGACCCCAAACCCGAATCCCTAAGATCTTTAGACTATAGGTCATATAGGGGGTTACAGAGGGTTTTATTCCAAGGATCCATTCCCCGGCTCTCCCTTGAGCGCCAGTAAGTCCGACCTGACGCTGGTGTAGGGTTTGAGGGTTACATGTTGATATAGGGAGCATATGGGGGGAATGGCGGTCTAGGGTTTAGGGTCTAGGGTTTAGGGAATGGAAAAGAAAATGGAAACTGCTATTTAGGGTTTAGGGTTTAGGGTTGTGACATTTATGGTTCACATACCCTTAGGTCGCCTTTTGAGGTTTATGTGGATTGAACCCAAAAAGTCTCGGACTAGCATCTACATTAGGACGGGTAGTACATTTTCTGAGGGACGGGATGGGTAGGGCATCAATGAAGGAATGGATCTTTGAAAAAACTCGAAGCCACAAATCCTAAACCTCAATCCCCATGTCCAAAACGAAGCCCACTCCCCACAGTCCCCTAAACCCTAAACCCCAAACCCGAGCCTGAGAAGGATTCGCCCATCCTCAATTTCTATCCGCAGAAGTCCTGTGGCGAGTATGAGAGGGTTGTAGCTGAAGGTTTTTGCGTTTTCGGGGTTCAAGGTTTAGGGGTTTAGGGTTTTAGGGTTCAGGAGTTTACGGGTATAGGGTTTAGGGGTGTTCGGGTCTTTGGGTTTTGCAGTTCTTCGGGGTAGGTGCTCAGTAGTTTGTGGTTTCGAGCAAGACTGGAAGATTTTTTTCGACAAGAAGGTTGTCTTTTTCGAGCCCCCAAAAATTTCAAGAGAGCAGATGCGAATCACAGATGAGGCAGCCTTGTTCTTTCACATTTTAGAGTGTCTGTACTGCTAGTATACCAAAGGAGCCACAAGATGTTGCAGAAGCCTGTGTATACCGTTGATGGAGGAAATCTTGCAGCGCACTAGGTCCCCTAAACACTGGGAATTACGGCAGCTTCAAGACCCTAAACCCTAAACCCTAAGCCCTAAACACTGGAAATTATGGTAGGTAGTTTCAAGACCCTAACCCTAAACCCCAAACACTGGGAATTACGGTAGTTTCAAGACCCTAAGTGGTGCAAGCTCTCCCCCATCAACAACATTTCCGTAGTCTCCTCAGAAATTTCTCCACTTTCATGATCGTATAATCCTAAGGAATGATTATAGGGGGTATATTGGGATAATGGAAAAGGAAATGGAAACTACTATTTAGGGTTTTGAGGTTAAGGTTCCCCCTTGAGTAGATAGAATATGGGGTATGTGGGGATCTTCTTATAATATGCCCAAAGCCATATTCTATCTCCTTAATGGGGACCATAACTCTGAGGAATTCCCCCAAACCCTAAACCCTAAACCCTAAACCCTTAACCGCGTACTGTTTTGGTATACGTCGACGGGAATGGCAGATTAGGTTTCTATCAGATCCTGTGTGAACCTGCGAGGTGACACAGCAGACCAGGCATGAATTTTGAAGGTTAGGGTTTAGGGTTT